AGGGGCTGCGGGGGTGTCTGTAGGTGCGGGGGGAGGTGGGGGCTCTATCAAGATCAACCGCCCCCCCCCCCCAGCCGGAGTGCCTGGAAAGCACCCAAACAGGGGGCTCTTTTCTCCACCAACAGCACAGGCTGTGAAATAGGATTGGAAAATAGGCTTTTTAATAATAATAGTAAAAACCAGCCCTGTGAATGTCCTCTTGGCAGCCTGTGCTGGCTGAGAAGTGATGCCGTAGAGTATTTTAAAATCTCTCCGTTCTTTTCAGTATGTCTTGAGAAAAATAAAACGCGTTTTCGCCGTGCGTCTGGTTCATCAGGCTAAGGCTGAAGCGTGCAGCCCTCCCCGGGGCTCCCTGGTGCCCGCGGGGGCTCCCGGGGCCTTGGGGCAGCCCGGAGCAGGGCAGAGGCTGGCAGGGCTGCGGGAGCGGGGCAGCGCGCCGGGAGACCGGGAGTTACGGGATTTACAGCCGTGGTGGTGGCAGTCAGCTGGGAGGGGCGAGATGCTGCAGTGGATGAGGATGGGGAATGGTTGGGCTCGGTTTTTTCTGTGCTGAGAGTAGCCAGCCTCGTTTATAGCCTGGGCTGTTTTTTTTTTTTTTTTCCCATTTTAATACAGTGTCTAAATTCTGCCAGGGATGATAAAAAAGACGAATTAAAAAAACAAAAAGAGCTGGTGTTATTGGAGCTGAGGAGGGGATGCAGGGCTTACGCTGCTGTGCAGAACAAGAGCTTCACGCCTCAATGGGGTTTTTAAAACGGTACTTGAAATTCAAAATCTAATCCTGTGTCTCTTCTGAACCTTGGTGCTCCAGTTGTGTTCAAACTCACTTGAGCTTATTAAGTGCCTTGGGGGTGGTGGTGCCTCCAGGCCTCCTCTGAACCAAGGGCAGGAATTTAGCTCAGAGCTGAAAAATGTCCTCTTGTTGTGGAGGAAGAGCAGGAGGACTGGCCGTGAAGGATGCCTGGAACGAGACCAGCAGAGCTTTGCTCTCAGCTGCTCGTGGGTAGGTGCTGCGGCTCTGGCCATGGATGGTGTTTCCTGCACATCTGGAGCTGGTCCCCTTCCCCGACACCCCCAAAAGCTGCCCTTCCCGCTGTGGTTCTCCCTCTGCAGCGTTGGTGACAGAGCAGGGATGAGACAAAAATGATCAGAAAAATAATTTATTTTGCTTTTGGGACAGTCTCTGAGCTGCTTCTCCCTGTGCTTCAGGCACTTACTAAAATGTCTTTATTTAGGCTCTGCTTGTGTTGTGTCCTCCAAAGCTTGAGGAGAGCTGGTGCGGAGGGTGCTGCATTATAAAAAGCCATCAGCTGCTGCAGGTGGAGGAAGAGCCTGAGGCTCTGCTTGACATGTTGGGGCTGAGCTGTCCTGGCTCAGGGCAAGGTGGTGTGTGTGCAGGACTGTGAGGGTCCCATGCTGCTCCATCCTGTCTGGAAGGGGACAGCTCAGGGGAGGTGTCAGGATTTCCGGAGTGTGAGACAGGTCCAAATGGTAAAATAATTATGACTGATATTTTGAGAGAGCAGGAAGAGGTGAGGGACTTGTGCAAGGGTTGTAGGATCACAAAGTGGTTTGCGTTGGAAGGGACATTCAAGGTCCATCTAGTTCCAATCCCCCTGCCCTGGGCAGGGCCACCTTCCACTAGCCCAGGTTGCCCAAAGCCCTGTCCAACCTGGCCTTGAGCCCTTCCAGGGAGGGGGCAGCCACAGCTTCTCTGGGCAGCCTGTGCCAGGGCCTCCCCACCCTCAGGGTACAACATTTCTTCCCTATGTCCAGCCTAACCCCACCTCATTCAGTTTAGAACCGTTGCCCTGTGCTGGGGACCCCGAGCTGGCCGCAGTGCTCCAGGGGTCTGAGGAGAGCGGGGCAGAGGGGGAGCATCTCCTCCCTCGGCCTGCTGGCCACGCTGCTGGGGATGCAGCCCAGGAGACACTTGCCTTGTTGCCGAGGGTGCGCTTGATCCCACTCTGTGTCAGTGCAGATGTTGAGCAGGCTGTGGAAGTGGGATTTGGCAGTTCCTGGTCCTGGGGTGCCCAGTTTCCAGCACAGCTCAATTCCCTGCACTTTCTCCCTGTTGCTGAAGCAGTGGGACGATGCCAGGGTGCTTGGGGCTGCTGTGAGATGCCTTCCCTGGTCTGGGAGAAGGGGTTTTGAGGGGACATGACACCTGGAGGAGTGCCGAGGGTTGGTGGCTGGCTGGACCCAGGTGGTTCGGGTCAGGATTGCTGTCACTCCGTGTGCTTGCTGTTACCATCCATTATAGAAACATGTGGCTGGATGATTTCAGCAGAGTGAGACTCTACTGTCAAAATTTCATACAGCCAGTTAGCAGAATTTTCAATAGTAATCGATTTTTGGTGACTGTAACAGTTGCTGGGTTCTAATTGGTCTGGGAAAGACCTTTTGTTAGTTGACAGATCCTCTCCCCATTCCCTACAGACAGTGCTTGCCTGATGCTTTGTCTTGCAGTTACGTGATGGAAGTGTTCCTTGAGATGATGGGGTGGACACTGCCCAAGTCGTGGGTTCAGGCGCTGAGGGGAGAGGTTTGGCAAGGCCTCCGTGCCTGCGGGATGGCATCCAGGCCTGGCAGGCTGCAGTGCTGCCAGAAGCTCCCCCAGCGTGAGAAGGATCTTCTCCAGAGTGGTGACGGGAGGAGAAGTACAGTTTGGAGCTGGAGGTCCCCCTTTGCCCCCAGCACAGACCTTGTGTGGTGGGACCAGTTTGTCTAAGGCTGGGTGGCCACAGAGGTGTTTGTAGGACTGAAGCCTCAATGGTTGCTGTCAACGAAGCGACTGTACAGGGTGATGGTCACATTCCTGGTGAACTTCCCCTTGGGTCTGAAGGCTTGCCTTGCTCCAGTGAGTGTTAATTGAGAATAATTCCTCTGGGGTTTGAAGAGTTGCTCTTTATTTCATGTCTAGCTTTTCTTTCTCATCATACCTTGTTTTCGGAGTACGGAGCTGTTTCCCAACCCACGCCAACAGGAGAGGCACAGGTGCCGAACCAGACCCGCTTTTGCATGTCTCCAGCTTGCAGAAGTGGTCAGAATGGTTTTGCAGGGCCCTTTCCTCCTGCTCTCGGCACTCCTCCAGCAGCTGTTTTCAAGTGCCTTTTTCTGGCAATGTCTGAGTTTGTGCTGTGCCGCTGTCCTCCCCAGCTGACTGAAAGCCCCTGCTCCTGCCTGCCAGCCACGTCCCTGTTTCAAGTGCTGCCTCCTGCCCGTGGGAGTTGCGGGGAGGTGCGCGTTAAAAATAGAAGGAGAGAGAAAGCGAGGTCGACTCCAGGTCCGGTTCCCCAGATCCACCCTCTTCCCTCCTGTGGCAGCTGAAATCTGCAGTGTGGCCCCCAGGACTTGCAGCCAGACCTTGCTCCATTCCTTCTCATTAATAATTCTGTGCTGCTCCCACTGATGATTTGTCTCTTGGGGGCACCAGTGTGAAGTCGACCAGAGTTGCCATTTGCAGCAGGACTCAGGTCTCCTCGATCTCCATCTGGGGAGTGGGGCTTTTCCGGAGCCATCCCCCAATGCAAAAGTCCCTGTGGACCCCGGAAATATATATATCTGCTTATTTAAATGCCGCCTTCCTTTCTTTTTTTAACTCTCTTGGTTGCCTGGTGTGCTTTTGAGCTCTTCTATTTAACGAAAAGGGTCATATAAATAATTCAGCTTCGCTTCTTCCCTCGTGGGTCGGGGACAGGGGACTGTCACATGGCGGGTGGCAGCTGGTGGCTCTCCAGCCCACACAGCCGCCCGCTCTGGCTGCGGTCAGTGGGGTGGGCAGTGATGCCGAAAAGCTAATTTTTCTGGGTGCTGGAAGGAGCGGAGCTGCTGGGGAAGGCTGTGCACCACAGATGCCCTCAGACCACGCCTGGCCCCACTGTCTCCCTGCCGCAAGAATGTGTCTCTGGGGCGGGGAAGCTGCTTCGCCTGCGCCCTTGGTGACCTGGGCAGTGGGAGGGGGTGAGACATGGGCCAGTCCTTGCTCCCTGGGATAGCTGGGCAGAGGTGATGTAGCGTGAGCCTGCGGTGCTGGCCTTGCACGCTCTGTCTTAGATAGTTGTGGGGGCCCGGGTGGCCCTGTGCTGCGGGGGTGCTGTTGGCAGCGGCGGGCACGCGCTCACACAGGGTGAGCTGAAGAAAACTTAAAATTGGGAAGAGGCTTTAATATGCTTTAAACACAGCAGCGTGCAAAGCCCAGCCTCCAGGCCAGCTCTGGATGGTGTTCCCTGTCCCCACCCCGCGAGGAGACCAGGGTCCGCAGTGGGGTTCTGCACCCTGCGGGGGGATGGATGGGGGTTTAGGGGGCAGGTGGGCCCAGCCGCCACCAGCACTGGCCTCAGAGGGGGACGCTGAGCCCCAGGGTCCCTCGATGTCTGCTGGGGCACTCAGGGTCTGGTGTGGTGGGGGCTTGGCCCCATCAGCCTGGATGCAGGAATACTCTCTGCCTCCCGAAACCTGGTGCTGCACTGTGGCTGCTGAACAGCCATGAGATGTGTTCACAGGCCACGTACGTTGGCTGCCCGCTGGATGTCTAAAAGGGCTTGAGCCAAAGGGGTTTAGACTAGTTTCTGTTGTTTTAATTGCAAGTGTCTTTGAGCTGCTCGGAAGCTATACAAATGTTTGTTTTGCTATGTATCTCCCGTTAACAAGATTTCTCAGGAAATATGCAAAATTATCACTACAGGCAGAACATGTACAGTAAGGCTCATTAAGCTAAGTACTGTGATAAATTGCTACTTCCAGAAAATTACGTATATTAGCAAAAGGGAGGAGCGTGAGCCCAAGTGGAAGACCCAGGAAGACGGAGTGTGCAGAAATATCCTGGCTCCAGGCGGCTGGAGGGTGACCTGAGCAAACCCAAGGCAGAGGACGGCTGGATGTCCTTGGACCGCAGCGTCCGCGGGATTATCCTTAGAGGAGATGCATGGGGAGGGGAAGGCAAGCAGAGAAGAATAGTGTGGGAAACAGAAACAGAGTCATGCTGTGTCAGGGCCAGACCAGGCATAAAGCCAGTGGGACCATCTTGGAAAAAATATAAAATGAGGCAACTCTGGAAGCACAAGGAGTAGAAAGTTTTTCTAAGCTGGAAGGCAGTGGGAGAGGGCAGGGGTGATGTGCCACGGGCTGTCTGTATCTCTGCCTTTGGCAGCCAGAAGCAGGGCTGGTGTCTGACATGTGGGCACTGCCTCACCCCCAGACAGGGGAGCAAACTGATGGACTGCTGTGAGCAGAGGATGGGCTGTGGCATGTAGTGTGTCATGGGCTCACAGAATGGTTTGGGTTGGAAGGGACCTTAAAGATTGTCTAGTCCCACCCCCCTGCCCCAGGCAGGGCCACCTTCCACTAGCCCAGGTTGCCCAAAGCCCCGTCCAACCTGGCCTTGAACCCTTCCAGGGAGGGGGCAGCCACAGCTTCTCTGGGCAGCCTGTGCCAGGGCCTCCCCACCCTCAGGGTACGACATTTCTTCCCTATGTCCAGCCTAACCCCACCTCATTCAGTTTAGAACCATTGCCCTGTGCTGGGGACCCCCGAGCTGGCCGCAGTGCTCCAGGGGTCTGAGGAGAGCTGGGCAGAGGGGGAGCATCCCCTCCCTCGGCCTGCTGGCCACGCTGCTGGGGATGCAGCTCGTTTGTCTTTGTGTGATGCTGGGATGGGGTGCGATGGTGTTAGGGAGGTGACGTGTGAACCCAGAGGCACCCTGCTGCTGTTCCTGCAGGAGGCCATAGACATGGCCCTTCTCTACTGCACTTCTCCATGACCTGCTCCACACTACTGTGTCTGAAAGCTGACAGGTCACATTGGGAAGAATGTTTCTTCATTACATCAAATCTGCTGGACTGATACTGGTCCTGTGCAGGCAGCTCCAGGTGACTGGCTCAACTAGGCATCCTTGAATGTAGGCTGGGATAAGGGACCTGCTGTGGATCTGCTTTAATTTTGGTGCTCACCTTTTCTTGAGATACCTATCTGTGTTGTCTAGTTCGAGTTTTGTAAATGGATATTTTATTTGCTTTTCTTTAACCTGCCTTGAACGCAGGCAGATCTTAACTGCTCAGGTCCCACATGAGAGATGTCCTGAAGCCTTCTTCAGTGGTACTCTGAGTATTTCCAGTGGAGGTGCAGGAGATACCCCTGTACAGCCACTCTTCTCTGGCAGGAGGGTCTCTTCCTCCATCACCTTTTGCAGGAGCATTGGAAGTAGTAAGTGGAGCCCAAGGACGTCTGCTGACTGCTGGCCAAAACCTGTCTTTGGGGACATCCAGAGGAGAATGGGGAGTCCTTGCGCTGTAGCAGGTGCGGAGAGGTCAGGCTAAGGGAAAGCTTCCCCAAGGGTGCCAGTGGGGAGAGGTTTCCCAGGTCCCTTTGAGCCAGTGCTCACCTCGCACTTTGAGCCAGTGCTCACCTCGCTGTGGGACACAGCCGCCTCGGCCCGTTTCACAACCATGTCGAGACCTGTTGTAGAGGAGTTTTTTGTCCCTGCTGCCATTGGACAGCCATTGCAGGACCACAGTCGTCGAATAGGTGAATGGTTTGCACTGAAAACAACCTTCAGAGGTCATTTAGTCCAACCCCATTGCCATGGGCAGAGTCATCTTCACTAGATGGTCCTGACTGGATTGAGAAATTCCAAATCTCCTGCCCAAAATTATTTGCATTCATTTGGTCTTAGGCCAGTGTTATCCTTCCTCTGGAGAAGGTCCCTCCTCCCTGCTGCCTGCTTCTCTAGCTTTCACCGCCAGGCGCAGGGGACAAACCTGGGCTGTGTAGTGTTAAAATCTGCTGCAAGATGGGACTGAGCTTTCTGTTAGCAGTGCAGTATTTCAGTTTCTAGTGGATACTTACAGACCTGGGTTTCTTTTCATGGGAACTCACTGAAAAATAATTAAAAAGGTAATCTGCTCACGATGTCTTGTGAGTTTTTAGAAGCTCAGTGCCAGCCACGGCCACTTGCTGTCACGTAGTGCTTCTGCTGTGATGTCTGCTGGGGATTTTCTAGTATTAAGTCTTCTATTTTATATGCCATTGCTTTCAGATCTTCCATCAAGTCGTGTCAGACTTAGGGTTTGTGGTGTATGAAATGACTGTTTGTTTTGGTTTTCTAGAAGACATTTGCTTTCTGGGAGGGTTGGTGTCTCACCTGGATGCTGAGATTCCTTCATATGGTTTAGGCAAGAGCACCAAAGAAATGTCATTCCCATGTTTGAGTGTTCTTGACCACTTGAGCAACCTGGTCTAGTGCAAGATTGCCTGCCTGTGATTGGGGGGGTTGGACTGGAGGATCTTTGAAGGTCCCTTTCAAACCAACATGTTCCATGAGTGTCCGTAGGCAGTGCAGTCTGATTTGAAGAATAACCATTTTGTGGACTGCCTTGATTTTCACATGTTGATCCTCTCCTGGTGTCGCGGGCCGTGGGAGCTGTGGTGCCACTGGCGTCGCCTCCTCTCCCTCAGGCTGTCCTTCTCTTTTATCCAGTACAGACTTCATGCTCACTGGTGGGTATCACCAGGCCTTGGTGTCCATCATGGAGCACTTGGTAGATATCAAAGCACGGTGGTGATCCTGGCAGAAACCTCTCGCAGTGCTGACCCTGGTGAATAGCTACGAGGTGGAGAGGAGAGACGAGTGCTGTGGCTGCAGGTGCTTCTACTGCCAGTGTGAAGTTCTGATCTACACAGAAGCCATAACAAGGATGGTGCCACCATTAGAAGGATGTTAAGAAATTAATTTCAGATTAATTAAGTCTGTCTGCTGGTTTTTGCCCAAATTTTTCTTTAGCCATGATTGCAAATTCGTAATAATCACTAAAATATCGATGCCTTTCCAGTAGATCACAATGCTGTCCATGTTCTAGAGCTATAGGAGAGCTTAGTGAGCTCAGTGCCTTGCCCCCCTGCAGCACTGTTGGCACCTCTGTCACCTCTGATGCTTGTTCTTAATAGTTAAGTGGAATTTTAAATGCCCGCTTCTAAAACTGAGTTTAGGAGTTGACCACGTCTCTCATAAAACGGTTGGGCTTCATGCCAAAGGCCAGTAATGTAATTCTGCAGCAATGAAAGCCAACACCTAAGGACAAAACTCTTGGAAATCTTGTTCTCCCTTGCACTGCTAGTGTTGGAAATTGGAAACTCCTACTGACTCATGCAGATGTTGCTGAATGCTGAAGTCATTTTGCCTTGAACTTTTATTCATCAAGAAGTTGTTCGTGAGAAATATGGGTTGGTTTTGGTGAATACTGGAATTAGACATAGCTGAGCTGAGGCCTGTGTGCTATAAAACACCCAGTTGTGCTGCATAGCTGTACTATGTGTGTAGTCTGCAAAAAATGCTAATGCTGAGGCTATAGGTAAATTAAGCCATGCTCTCAGGTGGTTCAGCTCTCCAGAGTGCATTCTTGGGAGCAGACCCTCCAGCTGTCCTTGGCCTTGGCCTTGACACCACCTCCCTGAAAACCCTCTGGAGCAGGACTTCTGCCTCTGGACTCCTGAGAAGAGAGTTTGGCCATGGCAAAATGCTAAAGTGAACCCTGAGGTGTGAAGGGTCAGCGCAGGCCCCAGGGTACGAGGGTGCGGTGGTTTGGCGTGGGGGGGACCCATGGGTGCTGTGGGTCTTGTTCATGTGAAGCTTTAGCAGCAGAGCTACAGTGAGCTGCTCTTCTGCTGAGCATTGCAGAGCTGGGCTGGGATGTTTCCAGGGATCTGGGCATCCGTATGCTTTAATATGTGTCCTGTAGGCTTTTAAGATGGCTGAGAAGAGCTCTTGGTGCAGCTTGCTGCTGAGTTATTCTGACCTCGTGCTTCTCCTCAGCAACATGCACAGCTGCGTGTCGGGGCTGTGGGGA